AGGACAAGAGGCAACAGGCAAAAGCTGCAACAGGGGAAATTCTGATTAGATACTAGAAAAAACATTTTTACCATGGAGCCACGATCAAATACTAGAACCAGGGACAAGATCTCCCTCCTTGGAGAGGTTCAAGACTGAACTAGATATGGCCATGAGCAATCTGATGTGATTAGATTTGCTTTGAGCAGGGGGTTGGTCTAGATAACTTCTGGAGGTACCTTCCAACTTGTATTATTCTATGACTCCATGAAAGGTTTAAAAATTGAATACTAGCTGATCATAATGCACATATAACAATTGAAACCAAACACTGGTATAGCTAATGTGCAACTCCCAGACAAAAACAAATGCCTTAGAATATCATTAAGATTTTTCCTTAGTTAGACGGGGGAAAGATTCCAATAAAATTCCTGTGACATTTTAGGCCATTGGCAGAATTGTATGTCTTTCACGTCTCAACACTTTCTATGCACAGTTGCCCAAACAAGTTCTGCTTTTTGCTTTCGCTATCAGGAAATGAGAAAGCGATAGCGAGGTCATCTTATTCCACATCTTAATGCGAGCGGAACGAAGACAAGAACCAACTGACAATATCCCGAAAAGGAAAATCACTGAGAAGGAGAGCAGTTTCCATGTATTCTCCTTTTATAGTGCAGCTCTAGTGACATGACTCCTTTCTATTAATCTCCAGTCATCACATAGAGCAAGCAGAAAATTGATAAACAGTTTAACAACCTGCTTCATCAGAAACAGCAGGGGAAGCTGGTTTAATGTGTTTGCTCCTGTTAGGGAACGACCAGCTGACCAATGGATCACCGCTTGTTTAACACTGCCCACCCGGCCCGCAAATACTCCAGCAACATCTGCACTTTTCTAATCAAGAAAACAAAACAGATTTTAATGTGTTTTGCTGACTGAGTGACACCATCCCATTCACTGACACCTGAACGATGTAGTTGGTCTACCTTTCCTCAGGTCTGAACCTCTCACTGTGCTTGCCCTACCACTTCGAATGCTTTCTCAGTCCTTCATGAGGCAGGAAATCCTGCTTCTTAACCCTCATTCACAGACCTTCAGGACACACTACATTTTTTTTCTGTGTTGCTTTTTACCAGTCCCCAGATTACAGTTTCCCAGATTGGCAAACCAACTGGATGTTAGGTGTCACAGTGATCTTTTCTAGGTGCTTACATAGTATACTGACCTGAATGCAACAAGCAGTTCCTTTTCAGAAACCATCTAAACCTCATACGCCACAGCCCTTTTAAAAGCCCTGGCAATATACATTACAACCTAAGGCAGCTGGTGCTGGAGCAGCTGCCAAAGAGGATAGCTGCCCCCACAGCCAGCTAGGTGCTAAACCACTCTAGCATCTTTAGCAGGAGTCAAACCACAAGCAGCTTAGGGGACTGCTAAATGGGCCAGGCTATGGCTCCACTGCTCCCTGGAAAAACCTGCGCTGACAAGATGGGAAGAAAGTTCACGGTGCAGCAGTTAGTGCTGCCCATTGCCTTCATGAGGTCTGAGCAGAGCGACTGTAGCAAGTGTCCTGTGGGCAGGGCCTATATCAGGTCTGTGCCAATGGACAGCACACATATGATAAGTGCACCTTGAGGGAAGTGACTTATGGACCATCATGGGTGGTTATGAGGAGCCAGGTCATGCACGGAGTAGGACATGGATGTAGGAAGAAGTGGGGTTCATGTACAGTGGGAAAGTGGGTTGCGAATTGGCTCAGAGGATGATTTTTTTAACCTAAATTCTTGTACGTTTTGTTTCATTTATTTGAAGAATGAAGGACCTATTAGGTCACTCTTTTTTCAGGCCAGCATTAGAAACAGAAATTTCAACTAGTACTTTGGACTAATGGACAGCTGGTCAGCTTTTCAGTGAATATGTCAGTGCTCACATTTCCATATTGGTTTCTGTACTTGCAGAATAAAAAAGAGAAAGTTCTGCACAAATAACAGGCACCACAATTAAACATCATGGCAATGGACCCTTGACCTTTATCTTGCTTAGAGAATATATGTCAATGTCTTTTTTCACACACTAATCATATTGGCATATTTGCATTTTGCTTGAAATATCTCAGGCAGATACTGTCCTTGGGGCTCGAAGCAGCTAAGCCAGAAACGACAGTATCCTTCTGTCCAGGGCCAGCAGAAGTTTTCCCAGATTCTGCCCTTGCAAAACAAACTGAACTGTGCAACAAGCAGCAAATGTTCATCTCAGAATATCTCAGGTTCATAGCAAGGTTGTGCTTTGTAGTAAAAATGTGTACAACATGAATGACAGAGTTAATTTGTCTTCCTATTGATGACTTACACGCTCTTAAGCACCAGAACAGTGTCCTCATGTAAAGGAGCTCTGCCTAAGTCTAAGAGCATTGTCTAAAGTGTGCTGTATTGAATTCTTCTCCATATACACGTACTGCTTGTAAAATGCAATCTGCAAGAAAATAGACACCAGGAAGTTCACTTTCACCACTGTCCTTTTCTCTTTCTTCTCATTGATATTTAAAAACTGAATTTGCCTTTATTCTTAAATGATAGATTTTTGGCAAAATTATTTTGCAACAAGGGCTTAGAGTGTAGGAAGTGGTCTCATCAGGAAGTTTATATGACTCCTTACCTCCAACTAGTTACAACTTATGGTGACAGAAGAACTGATAAAGATAGAGGTTTTCTATTTATTCCCCCTCCCCACCCTAATTTAAAACCAATTTCTCTGCCAACAGTGAATCATACAAGAACTTGCTTGAGATATGCAGAATGTATCTGCACAGGAGTATTATCATTCACGCACCTCTGCGACAGATTTCTTCCACTGCAAAGCTAGCTCTGAATAAAATACCCTTCTATTTAATGATTCTTTAAGGATAAAAGATAGCAAAGCATTTAGTTAGAAACAAAGTACTGGGGTTCCTATGTTGACAGGATCCTGCAGTCTTGCACTTATCCAGAGACGCCCAACCTGTCTTCTGGAAACTGACAAACTAATGTGGTCACTGTCTCACTCAAGACACAAAACTGACACTGAAGACCTGTTCTGTAAGCCATAACTCATACTGATCCGCACAAGACTACGGAGAAGTGGTGCAGAGACTGTCCTCATGGAGATATGTGTGTGTGTGTGTATATATATATGTATATGTATATATGTATACATGCATATGTACACATACACACAAACACACTCACCACACACACCCCTGCATGCACACAGGTAACAACAGAATAAATATATATGTATACATTAATGACTAATAGAAAACAGAAACATCCTCAAGTGCTTCTACCTTGGGCTAAAGTATACAGTGATACCTTCACCTCATGATATAACGAACTTCACAAAAATATAGCAGTCAAATTCAATACAGGCCAACACCAGCAAAACAAGTAACTGCTTCTTGCTGTGGTCCATCACAACAGTATTTTGTACTAAGGAACTCTAAAACATACCCATACAATAAGCAGCCACGAAAAGATAATTTTGCATATGAAAGAGCAGCATAGTAGAGACAAACTTGTGTAACAGAGGATGTTTATTTTCCTGGTTATATAAACACACACAAAAATGTTTCTAGCAAAGAAGCCTGGAGAGGAAATATTGCAGCTTTGGGCATGATAAGTAACTAGAAAGAGCCAACAGCACCACCTGGTGTTCTTTCCAAACCCCCAGAGAAGGATTTTGTCCCCAGTCTCCCCAGAGCACTGCACTGCTCACCAAAGGCATAAGTTTAATTCTGTTAAATCCAAACTCTTTAGGAAATAACAAACCCACTGTGTGCCATAGAAATGTATGATCCATGATGAAACACCTCTAGCCAGTTTATATTTAAAGAGTATTGTCAGGATATTTTCCTGTGCATGGCTACAATTAGTAAATCAAATTAGCACTCGCAGTCCCAAGGCATAAAAGAAGCAAAGAGCTCCAACCCCTAGCTTCAGATGGGACTAATAAATTCTGCTTAGAGCAGGATGTATCAGTTTGGGCTTAGGCATCAGCGGACACATGGCTTTTGTCCTGTCCCCCCTGAGGATGTGCAGAATTAGCTCACTTGCTACAAGAGTGGGCTGGGTGAGTCTCTCTGCCTGCCTAGTGCCATGCAGACAAACTCTCAAACCTCTCTGTGCCTCAGTCACTTTCAAAAAAAAAGCCTAAAGCATGTTTGAAAATCTCCCTATCAACCTCCTCCTATTTCTGGAACAATCTTTTCCTTGTATATTAAACTAAGATTGCATTTTGCAACTTGAGGCCCTACCTTTGATGGGAAGCCCTATTTAAAAACTAAATCAAAACTTGGAATAAAAAAAATATATTTATCCTCACTGCTTATTAGAAAAATATGTACTGGCATTTAAAAAGAACAGTTGGCCTTTGTGTTTAAAAATAGCTTTCTAGAAATAGAACTCTTCACAGCTCAGAGAGAAATATACCTGATGTTCAGTTCAACTTTTCTCTTGTTGCATTCTCAGCAAGCAATAGCATGTAGACCTACAGTGGGTAAATGCTCTTGGCACAAATGTACTTATTCACAAGCAAATATGCTTGTTCCTAAGTCATTTTGCTCCTTTACGCATCAATACTCGAGCCAAAAACGTAGGAACTTTTAGATCAAAACACGAGTTAGATTCAGCAAATAGGTGCATGAATACATGCTTCCAGCTATAGCAGGGCTGTAGACAGCTTGCAACTGGTCCTGTAAAAGGCAACGGTGCAAATTCTTAACAATGATGACTTTAAAGACAGTCTGGATTGCGGGTTTTGAAATGGTTTATAAGTCAGCACTCTGCAATACATTTTAAGTTCTGTAGAAGTTTGACAGTTGGGAAGAAAAGAAAACAAACTTCAATCAATCCCTTAGCTCCAGAAGCCCCCTTTACCCTTACTTAGAGAAGAAATGTCAAGAAACCCAAGGTCTAAGTATCTGCAAACATACAGTGTGAGTTTTGAGAACCAAGGCTGTCCTTCTGCAGCTGCGCTGTAGGACTTACTGTGGGGTACGGATGCGAGCAGAACACAGTATATTTCCGGATGATACCATTTAACTTAAGAGGAGGGAGCCAGGACACAAAGACAGTGGAGGCTGAAGCCGCAGCTGCTTTAACACCAGCAGGAGGACCTGGAACTGGAAAAGCAACACACGTGGTGGTTAGCGTGGACTAAAGAAGACACTTTGTCATCCTAATGTAATGGAGGAACAAAACAGAAAAGACAAGCCTGCTGCTTTGGTAACCCAAGCCCCTTTGGAACAAGTCAGAAAATCTGCATTAGGAGGAAGGAGACGTTCTGGAGAGAGTTTGGCAGGTTGTGCTCCCACCCGCAGCAGGGGAAAGGCTCTGCTTCAGAAGGTCCCAAAGCAGAAGCTGTGACTGGCTGGGATGCAAGGTGCTCCTCAGTTAAGCTTTTGTGAAAAAGCACCCACAGCTTGCACGTATGAAAATTTGTCACGACAAACAATAAATTATTAGAAATGTTAGCCTGATTTTGAAGACATAACATGTGCCAAATGAAAATTCTCTGTATAAATAATAGGCATTAGAATAGTTTAATGGACATACACAGTATAGCTGTCAATTTAATGAACTGGAGAGCAAATGAGATGTAGCGCCATGCAATTAGCACTGCCTGATGTGACCCAGGTATCCCTAGTAGTGTGATGTGTGAGCAGACATATGGCTACACAGTCTCCTTCCCCCTAGCCTTCCCTTTAACAGCTCAGAGCTGTATCTGGCACTGCAGTATATGAGCACATATTTATTTCTCTAATTACAGTAGCTATTTATATAAGCCATCAAAAACTGTCATAGAAAAAGAGAAAAAAAAAATCTCTTTAAAACCACATGGAAAAAAACTTTGGCCAGGGAATGCTAAAATCTTGGTACATAAGCTTAGCTGTATCTCTTCACGCACTTGCATCTTGAGAAAGACTTTAATTACATGAGCATATGTTATTTTTCAAACACACATTATACTGTATAATGCTGTTCTCCAACTTCGGAGTTGTTTTTTTACTATTGTGAAAAAATTCCTGCATGCTAGAATATCCATAAAGTATCACAAACATAAAAGCTTGTACTTCTTACACAAAAAATCATGGGCTATTTTTAATATTAGACTAAGCTTGTTTTAAGTTTCCTGAAGAACCAAATATTGTCAACAGGAGAATATCTTCAGTGATAGGGTAATTTAAAAACACATAAAGAAAAATAATTTGAAAGTTATTTGCAATATTGCATGTGGAAAATATTTTATGTTCAATTATTACAGTAGCTATAGGTATGCTGTACTGAAAATGAATATATATGGTATTAAAGATAAAATGAAATATTTTGATGGATTCTATTTTCTGTAGAAGTTTTGGTTCATGGCGAATTTCATGTCTTGGTCTAATTTGTCTAAAACAATCAAAAAATGTTAGACTTTCCAGTAAAATGACAGTTCCAGGGTTTGATCAGCTTTCTTTACTTCCACAGAAAACTCTCATTGCCTAATACATATGGACAAACCCTCATCCAGCAAACTGATCTTCATAAACGGATCCTTAATCTTAGTTCTACCTCATTTAAATAGATAGATATTAAGTTGGTACAAGAGTCCGCCTATAAAGAGAAGCCAGACAGCTTGGGGCCTAAACTCGCTTAGCTTTGTAGCTAACCACTTCTGATGGAAAAAGCATCTATGGTGAACTTCAGTTTTAGATCTGTACAGTTAGTACTGGAATATGTAAGAAAACAGATAGATAAGCATCACTAAGTGCAATACTTCTGAATATGCACTTTCTATTTATAGTGCATTGCGAAAGCTAATAAGGCATCAAGTGAGAATGTCAGGATTATAATTCCATGCAAACCCAGCCCCTTGCTGCAAAGGGGCTAATTCAGTTAGCAAGTTCTATCCAATGCAGAGTAAATATTGATGCTTGACAGCATTCAACTTGTTATTTATACCCAGCTCATTAGAAATGCTATTTGCTACTGCTGCTGAACAGTGAAAACTAGCTCTCCAGGGTAATTACTTAACCCACGGGAGGATTCCTTTACGGTTAGTAATGTTTTCTGGAAATCACTGCAAATAGACGTATGAGGTTAAAGTAATTTATTGTTAAATTAGGGTGTGATCTACAGGGACAGATTCTGATGGTAATTGGTCATGGCTGTCAACTGTTGAGGGATTAACTCAGAATTCATCTAGCATTTTCCAGTCAATGGACATACATGGAAAATATGAATTGTCATTGAATTGCTGCATTTCTGTCCAGTATATAGACCAGCAGAAAGGGGGACTAGAAAGGAAGTCAAGAAGTCATCTAGTCAAATTTCTGAACATTTTTTAATCCAAAGACCGCTCCACATTTTCAGAGGGGGGCAAAGCTGGGTAACATCTTTTGCAGTGCTACCAAAATGATTCTGAATGTCCATTTATTACTTTTCTTTTTGCTACCTTGCCTTTGTTAACTGGGTTGCACATGTGGAAGTGAAGTGTGTGAGGAAGTATTTACATTTTCTTGGCAAGAATTCTTCAGACTGTCATCTGATGTCAGATCACCACTGTCCTGCGTCCAGAGGATAAATTCATTGCTCAGATTCATTCCTCGGAGCAAGACAAGATTATTCTAACTTATCTCAGTATTAACTGGAACATTTATTGCTAAATGTGGGTTTCCTGAATATTTTGAAGAAGGTGGGGGGGGGAGGGGAAGACTTTGAAGGGAGAGATGAAGGAAAGATCCCAGTCTGACCATGCTGGCACAAGACAGTTATAAGATATACATATCTTCCATTGTCATCGCATTCTGTAGCCTTACAGGCTTCACTTATTACATGACACCAATATCACAAGAATTAGATTGTCTTGCTAAATTCTCTGGGCATCTTACTTAGAACACCAATTCCTGCAGATCTTCACAAAGACAAAACTAAACATACACTATTTCGTAGAGTCTTTTTTCCATGATCATCAGTGCTACGACAATGCTAAGAAGCTAGAGGAAAACCAAGGCTGAACACTGAGAAGCTGAGAACTGCTTCTAGCAGTCTTTGGGACTTTCTAGGGATCAGGTTTGGCAAAATTTAAGATCAAAGATGGCCTCATTCTCCAGGTGGCAAGGCTTTAAAAGATACAGAAATAGCATGCTGCTTTCACGTGGAGGATAGCACTTTGTATTCTTGACACTGTAAATGAATGCTAACATGGAAAAGGCACTGACATGACTAGTCTGGGAAATAGCATTTAGAAGTGTGGGATCGTGGGGAGGAGCTCCATGAACTTCCTTGTTCCCTTTTTCATAGGCAGTGAGTTTATCACCATTTTTCTTCACAGCACTGATCAGTAGGGAGGAAAATGCGAGCGCGGTACATTTAAAAGCAGTATCACCTATACATCAGAAAATAGAACCCTGCTCCATAATAGGTTTTCAATTCTACACTGTAAAATACCATCCTATTGACTAGTGCATTTATGAAAAACAACACAAAATAAGCCCCTGACCATTGATGCTTTTGTTCATGTAAATATCCCATCTGCAATTTAGACCTATGCTACCCAAAATACATTTACAGGTATTATCCACCTATAATTCACACCAAGCTGGCCTCCTGTTAATTAGATCATTTCTACCAAATTCTGCCAGGTTCACATGGGGAACATTTATTCTTCTGTACCCTCTTTTCTTATTTGAAAAAGTAAAATCGGAGATCTCTGACCAATACAATGTTTTAAGGGGTCATGAAGGGCAATTTGCCAACACAAAGTCCAGGTTTAAGCCATTTAAGTCTTTCAGGACAGAAATGAACTACACAGCCATTCTCATCGTTTGGAAGAGCCCAAGCAAGGCTCTACTCCAAAGCTTACTGAACTTGCCTTAATTGGGATTTGATTGGATTGGATTTATGCTCATTAGTTTTAGAATAAACATGGCATCTCTATAGCTATCCCTCTCGTGCCAATCACCACGAAGCTTGGCATCCAGAGAGAGAAAGGAGAGGAGGAAAACTTCTCTGGATTCAGGCACAGTCTTACAATGAGGCTGGGAAAGGGGGTTAATGTTCCTCCTTCCTCCCTCCAGCTAGTCCCCTCCTGTTTCCTTGCTGCAGCTTTCCCCATGCTCTTAAAGCCCACGTCGCTGCCTAAGGAGAGCTGGAAAGTTAGCAGGAGAAGTCGTCTTCTGTGATAGACAAATAGCATTTTGTGCGTAAGAATGGATTTTCTAAAAGGACTTTAAAATGAGAGAGAAACACTACTTCCTGCATCGCACAAGCTCTGCCAGTTGCCGGCAGCCACAGCAGCCCAGGCTGCCGAGGGGGAGGAATCTTTCCCTGGAAATGGGGTCTGAGTAGCCGCATCCTCAGCTGGTTGGTTCTGTTCAAGCCCAGGGGCACTGCTGCCAGCCAAGGTGCTGGGTAGTGTGTCTGGCTTGGGAAGGGAGCAGATTCATCGTCTCAATTGCAGTTTTTATAATATCGCATTTCTAGCACAGAAATAGAGAGGAAATACGCCAACCCCTGCTGCTACCAAGTGGAGTAGCTTTTGAAATTGCACTTTGAACCCGGTGAGTAAGAGAATTTGAAGAATGATTTTAATTTGTAATGATTATTAAAATAAGTTCTCAGGTAAAGAGATAAAGAGAAGAGAATCAGCTTGTGAGAAACTCTGTGTAAAGTGGAAAGAATAGGGGACGAAAAACACAATGAATTCTTAAAACTAGGTGTTCCTGCTTCAGTCGTCTTTCTGCCAAGAGGACCACTGAGAGGAGCAGGTTTTTTTCTCCTGAAGGCTCATTGGAAAAAAAAAAATCTAGGCAAAAACCCTAAATGTGATCACTTTGAAAGGAAAGCTTGTTTCCTATTATTTGCTAGAGCTGCTCCTCTTTCCTAAGCTGAACAGCAGCTGTGTCTGACCTCTGGTGTCTAAAATCAGTCTCAAACATTACTAGAAATTGAAGCATCAGCTCATTTCATCCAGGCAGACTGCTTTACTCCCTGGGATACCGTTTTCTTTTGTCACATTGGAGACAAAAGTTTTGCTTACTTCAGGCCTGCTAAGGAAATTTTGGGCTGATGTCTCTGAGCTGAATACCAACAGGGAAGGGACAGGAAGCCACCGTTTGCCTTTCAACAGATAATGGAACATGCTGCACCATTGATTTTACAAAGAAAAGCTTCTGCTATTGTAAAAGAAATGAAAAAAGAAGAAATCAATGGCATAGTATGGCCCCATAGTAGTAATGATATGGAGGGCTTGGCAGCTATTTAAAAATATCTCAGATTTTACTACAGGAGGGAGGAATACCTTGTGTCATAATTTTAACTAGCGAAGGTCTGGGAGCAGGATATGAGGTTTCGAGATCTAAGCTCTGTGAAGATCGCAAGTATTTGTATTCCACTTGCTGGGAGGGTATTCAAACTAACTTTATAGCAGGATCTTTTAGCTGCACTGAAATTAGGTGTACTGAATTATCCTCTGCAGGACCCTCTTTTCCGCACAAGATTACAGAAGAAATATCTGTCCTTTCTGAGGAATGAGGCACCTGTTAGATGCATAGAGTTTGACAATGTGAATACCCTTTTCCAATCTAACTTCCATAGCCTTTAGGAGGTTTAGACCTGGGATTTTGGTTCGGGTTTATTTTTAATGGCAGGCCTTCATGTATTCCACTCCAGACCTTTAACGCCCCTAATAAAAAGCTGTGAAGCTGGTGTGAAACATGAAATCACTGTATTTTCTGGAAACAGCTTTCAGTTTAGTTTTCTGGACAAAAGATTTAATCAGTGGGACCACTGCGAGGCATCACAAAATGTCTGAAAAGGTTAGTTGCACAGTCTCAGGGTGAGTTATTGCTGAACTGCTCTGCGGCTTCATTGCCAGGAGGATTAAAGATGACAGATGAGCCTTTCCACAGCAGCCAAATACAGTCAGAGCCTATGTGTTTCCTAAGTGTCAGGGCCTGCCTGGTCTCAGAAACCGAAAGAGCAAAAGAGCCACCAAGAATTAGGGAGAAGCAAATGAAGCTGAAGTAGGTTAGGGGGGAAAAAAAAAAGATTTGGGGCTTCTAGTGTTTCAGACAAATTGGAGAAAGGCCAGAGGAGAAGGGAGTGCACATGTGGTAGGGGTATGGAGCAATGAACACAGTAACCCTTCAAATAGGAAATACTGTTATAAAGCAGCAAGTGATCCATTGCTCTCTCTGTCTAGTGGCAGCAGGGCAGCAGGAAGTCCAGCATCAGCAGAGCAGTGAGAAGTACTCAGCCCACTTCACAGCAAAGAAGATTGCACTATGGTGGATCCTTAAACACTGGTACAGGCTATCTAGGGAGGCTACAGAGGCCCCATCCCTGGAAATTTTGGAGAAAAAGTTAGCAAATACCAGTCAACAATGGCCTAGACGTATCTGATACCCTTTAGAGCAGGACAATGGGTTGGGTCAGGTGTCAGCAACCTTTCAGGAGCACGGGTATTCTGCTGTCCTCAGTGACAGATAGATGTACTGCTGGCATGGCTTCTACCATCTGATCAATCCCAAAAATCGAAGGAACCTCACACAGGGACAAGATGTCATCTGTATCCAGGCAAGTTTCGTTAGCTTATGACTCACTTGAAGTTTTTGACTCAGGAGGAACCTGTGCATGATGCTCTGAAATTGCCCTCATGACTTCTTTGGCATGGTGCCATGAAGTGCTGACCCTGGGGGGTCAGGGGTAGTCTCTGCAGCTCGGCTTTTCAAGGTTTTTAGGAGAGTGTTCCTGATTGTCCCTGGTTATTTGGCACTGGCTGCGTGTTGTGCAAAGGCTTACACCAGCAAACACATTCTTGTAGTCCTTGAGGGTGCTCTGACGTGATTTCTGCCTTCCCAAGACTGGACTGCTCCTGAGCTCCTGGAGCAACCTGTGCGCCTATGGTTTAAGCCCCAAACGCAAAGGCTCTGGAGTGACAGCTTTTGTATCCAGAGAGCATTCAGAGAAAAGAAGCCACTTTGGGATCTACATGCAAAAAATAGCTTGAAAGCGCAGCACGTGATCTTGCAATTCTCTGTAATTTTTTGATTTTTCTTTGAGATAAAACCACCGTAGCTCCAAGCACTGGGTATTTCAAGAGATCTGACTCAAGCCTCAGGTAGTCCAAAGTGGTTAAAAGACATCAGGGTGGATCTGAATGACCAGTGAATGATTCCATGCTTAGGATACATATGTCTATGGCTGAGCTAGCTGTCCTTGGCAGTTTCAGAATAGGTGCAGCATCTTGAGACAGGTTTAGACAGGGCAGTTATGGCAATTACGGATCTCAGTAATTTGTACTTCTACTGAGCTCCGGAAGTAGACCTACATTCACTCACATTATTATATGCCTAAATTTCCTCATATTTCTCAGTCCTATGGCATTCACTTATTTTTTTCCTGTTAATATAGCTTTGATCAAAGCAATGGAAAGTATCAAGAGCATTTTGAAAACATAACAAAGAACAAATAGGACAATGGATAATATAAGAAAAATGTTTAGAAGTCCTACTCTCATTTACACTGTATTCCCTAAGCACAACTATAGCTGTGGCCAGGTGGCCTTACAATAGATGTAAATTTTAGAATGAGTCCCTTAATATTCTATTGGAAAAAAATCATAACATTCATCAAGTCAGTTAATCTACTGAACTGACTCCCTTAGGCACCTTTCTAAATCTCACTGTAAATGAAAAAATTGACAAATATATTCATATATTCATGAATGACCTGTAAACCGGACGAGTAACAAAGAAAAATCTATTGATTAATTTCCTTGAAAAAATATTGCATAATTCATAGGATAATTTACAAATCAAGCATTATTCATGTAACTTCATTCCTAAGACTATGTGAATTTTCATTTCTGTCAGAAAACTTAACTACTTAAATACTTAACTACTAGCATCCAGATTTTCAAAAGTGTTTAGGGATTTAAAGATGTAGCTGGGCATCTCACGAGACTTTCAAAGGTATCTAAACAGGTCAGGGACAAAGCTCCCACTGAATTTGAAATTCTGGTTCTTGGAAACTAGACCTCTATGAGGCATCCTACTGAGGCAGCCTGAAGTGATTCCCATAGTTGAAGTTATAAAAAAAGTATTTACGTAACCCTTTTTTTCTCCTTGTGATGATTGAAAGTTTCTTAAACTTTCAGCATTAGGGCTTAAATTTTCCATGCTTGGTCTGTGACCCAAGGCAAGAGATTTCTGTTGTCATTTTCTTTTTGAAGGAAGAGCTTTTTGGAGAATTTTTTCTCCACACTGAAGAAAATCTTCTTAGAAACATACAAGTTCTGAAAGAGCATCCCAAAATACTGCCTCCTCTTTTCCCTGTTTTTCAATCACTTTAAAAGAGTTATCTCAAAAACTCTCAAAAACCTTCAAATAAGATTCTGAAGTATTTGAAAACAAAATGAAAAAAAGATAAACTTGCTTAGAACATTGGAAATACCTACAAACTAACCGCAATGGGAGTCTTGGAAACACTCAGATTATTTTCAAAGATGTGAGCACACGCCCCTTTCCATGTCCTCCTAATGCGAGGCCTTCAGATAAAAATATTACCCTGCATGCTTGGGTATTGTATTTGCTCTATTTTGAAAATCTGAGACAAATTAGGATCTTATGGAAGTGGGAATGGTAAATGTTTTACTCCTTACCATCTTCTTTAGTGCGCGTGAAAATTTGTTCACTTCTCACTCCATCCCCGGCTCGCGTGAAAGCCAACACCTGAATGCTGTAATTGGTGTATTTTTCCAGGCCATCAAGCTCTAGTGATGGCTGTGTAGTAGTGACATTTTTTATCTCTCCCAGCTCTATGAAGTAAAAACAAAATGAAGTTATTGGCAAGGTCAGTCTTTTTGCAGCTATCAGTGCCTACTGTGGAAATGCTGGAGATTAAAGAGTGAATCAGAGAACTTATCCTTCATTATTATAAAATAACAATGCATGTACTAATACTGAAATATAGAATTAGAAGAAAAATTTTAAAAATTTCTTTGTATTCCAATTTTTTACAGCGGAAAGTAGACCTCGTTTTCAATTTCAAACTTTTTTTGCAAATTTTTAAAATATAGAGCATAGAATTGAAAGTTTCTATATATAGTAATCAGATTTTTCATAAAGAACAGATAACAAGAAGAGATTATTATAAAACATTCCTTAAAGCAAAAAACTTGAGAAAGTCAGTTATCTTCATCAAGATTTTCACTTTTTGAGAAAGATTATTTATCATATGGAAAAATAAAGAAAAAACCTATTTGTTTTCAGAAGTGCAGCCACTGCTGCTGAAAAGCACTTGATGGCAGTAATACCAGCTAACAATAGATTTAAACATAGTAAAACCAGATTTACTTTACAGAATGATGCACGTCATATGAATCCTTTTGCAGCAAGCAAAGAAGTACAATCCATACAGAAAAAATGCTTAAAACAGATTTAGGGCAGAAAATACAGCCAAGCAAACGAAGAAAATTCAGTTTTAAGCACTGCATATCTATGAACGCCATCCTATGTTGCAGGACATCACATAGGAGCTTAGAAGTGCACTGATAACATTCACATAGAAACTCATCCAAAGATTACAGCCACCATGAAAACATTTAATTTTATGTCAGTCAGGCCTACATTTTTATATTTGCTTCTCATTTTTTTATCTTTATTTTTAAAGGTACAAAGGAATTGAAGTTTTTTTTTCCAAACATTTTTGACTCAAGCACCATCAGCAGTAGCAATGGGCCTCAGGGTTATTTCCACTCTCAGATACACCTGGCTACACTAACAGAGGTCAGGATTTGCAAGGCAATTGCATATTCCACCGGACTATGATGCCAGTGGATAAATAGACAAGAAGAGAGACAACTCACTGCCCTAGAGCTGTGAAAGTTCAATGGGGCTAATAAGAATGAGGGTATGTGCATATTAAACTTACTAGTATTTAATTTTACAATAAAGGACCATTTGTAGGATTATCATCATGTAATAAATTAGGATTAATAAGGTTTCTCAATTCTCCTTTGATCATTTGACTTATTCACTGCCCAGGAGTCTATTTCCCTAGCAATTATGCTGATAGTTCAAAACATAAGCACAGCAGAAGAGATTAAAATAACAAGTCTCTTCCAAAAATGTTTCCTTCTTTTGCCCTCAACTCTGGAAAGAAAATGATATAAAATTCATGCGATCAAAAAAAAGAAAAGGCAAATTCCTCTCAACCAGCCAGCGAACTAACCGAACAGATAACCAACCAAATGAAAATAAAATATAGTAAGCAAAATTACTAGGCAGGTATGTTCTAGATTTATATTGTCATTCTTTAGAAAAGACCAGATGGGCTTTGTTACTGAGATGAAATATGCTCAGGTCATTTTGGACAGGGTCAAGTCCATAGAGTGTTGCAAATTCAAGCTGGAAGCCTTCCCCCAGAGCCCCTTCAACTGCGCTAGCAGAAATCCACAACCAGTTTTGTAACATCAGCTCCTGTGACAAACATCCAAGTAGAACAGTCCCCTGACAAGTAGGTGAAGCGTTCTCTAAACCAATGAGGAAAGGAAATATAATGCCTTCACAGAGAAGTAAATGATACACATGCCACAAATTGCTTGCTATTTGGTGATAACTTGAACAAATTCTCTTACCTCCATCCAAGAGATTAGCCCAGTAGATAACCCTGAATCCCTGCAGAATCCCATTCAGGGCTTCTTTTGCCAACGTTGACCAGGAAATAGAGATAGTTTCTGGTGATGTGGCAGTAGCTTGCACATTCCCTGGAGGGCAACTGGGCACTGAAACAAGATATTCACCATTTTTAACTTGATGAATAAAATTGAATTTTTATCATGTGCATCTATGCCATTTAGTAGGAATATATACAAAAGAACACCCTTGAACACTTTTTAGAAGACTCCCCTTCAACTACATGTTCAACTTCCATTGCTATTCCACCATCCTTTATTTTAGCTAGCATTTACACACAGTTAGCAATGGAAAGTCTTTTTTTCTTGCTACGCTCCTTATGTTTCTGTGGGTGTAGCTGACTTCCCCAGAATGACTCTTGACATACTCCTTTCCCCCTTTTTGACTAGTCTTTTAATAGGTTTTGCTCTCTTCTATTGATAGAGAAATGCATCCTAGGGCTGAAATATGCAGAACATATTCTGTAAGCAGTTAAAATACATTTTTATAAATTTGCAGCCAAGTTGCCATCTTTTTGAACAATTCGAATCTCCCTCTAAAATGGGAGGGGGAAAAAACAGGCATTTATTGAAAAAATATTGGGAAAAAAGTTCACAAAATCTTTTCGCTAACAGTTAGAAAAATTGGAAGAAGTCAGCCAAATCTAAGGCATTTTGTCTTGGCCATTTTGTGTCAAAGGCAATAACTGCAGTACTAATTTTGGAGTTGCTTTTAAATTCATGACATCTGTAATTCTGATAATAACACAAAACTAAACAATGACCTAAAAAAATGTTGCCAAGAAAAATACGTAAGCATGCCAGAATCTGAAGAAAAAAACTTACGCTTGTTATAATACAAAATGCATGCATGACCGAGTGTATGGTCTTCTGACATTTTGCAGTTATCTGTCTAGGCCCAAAAACATTTAGAGTAAATGAAAAACACCAGTTTCATAAAGCATATGCCTCAAAACCTATAGCTCTCAAGAGTTAGAGATGTGTGCTACTCCATTTCCCACACACAAAAAGTCAGATTCCTAGCTGGCACTGATTTCAATACCTGATGCCAATTTACAGTAGCTGAAAATTTGACCTACAATATCTTTTAGGATGATCATACAATTAGCTTTTATACTCCTCTACAATATAGGAGCCCTTTTTGGATATGGAATCATTCTTTTTTCCACTAGAGGACTCCCTTTCATTGTTTGAGAAATGCTTTTTATGCAGTTTGACAAAAAATAATCCTGAATTGTTCTTCTGATTAGACAGGTTGAGTTTGGCGTGAAATAACAATGATTTCTCTCTCATTAGTTTGGACATCCTTGGAAAAACACACATCTCATTTTAAACTGACAGGATAAGGGACCGTGTAATAAAAGAGCTCCAGGTTTCACAGCACATTCAGTTAAAAACAAACAAAGACAATAAACTTAACAGTAAGACTTCAGCTTTCAAAGTTTTTCTTAACATCTCAAAGTGCACTATGAAATTATGATGAGATCATAAAATTTTCAAATATATCAGCACCGCAGCAATAGGCTGCTTCTTGAAAGCTATGGTTTCAGCCAATATCATTCACACTAGGATGTATCAAAGCAGTATAGGTATATTTATTTATCTGCATAATACTGCATCTCTTGCAATGAAAATTGTACATGCTCACTGACCAGTCTCTTCCCATCCAGCTGTTCACTATAGCTAACACCTGTACAGTCTGGTCTTCAATTACCCGCTCTACAATAATCACTAATCAAGCAGTAAATGTAACAAGGTAAGAAGAAATAAAGAAATAGTAACGTGTCCCATGATAGCTATTTGCCAAGGACCTACCATCCTCTAGGGTAGTGGTGATGATTTCCTGAGAAGAAGGTCCTATTCCAGCCCGGTTACAAGCCTGGACTACCATGCCATACTGGGTGAATTTTTTCAGGTTATTCAGGGTGTAAACTTCACTGTCCCCAGTGGTATCAATACTGATGATGTTGAACTGGAAATTGCCCCCTGCACTGTACTCCCGATAACCTATCTGGTATCCACGAATAATTCCATTTTGCAAGTGCTTCTTTGGAGCCTAAACAGGATATGAAAGATTACATATTAAGCACACATCTTCAAAGTCAAGTTGTCCCCTTAAAAATTTCGAAATATACAAAAGTTCAACACTTTTCCCTTACTGAACGCAATTCCATTTTTAGGTAACAATTCAAAGATACTCCCTGCACATGAAGTGTTAAGCTTTTACCACGATATATAAATTTAAGGGCAGTTTGTTTTAATAGTGCATTCCT